GAGAGAATAAAGGTCCTCTCCACTGGGGCTTAGGAAGAGTGTCTCTGATCATTTTGATAAGAACTAGGTCCCTGGAGAAAGAATGTGGGAAGCCCCATATCTTTTCCTTCTGGGGCCCCCTGCTTCATTTCCTAAAGGAACTTGGTTTAGGTAGGTCATATGTGATAGCAGCTGAGTGGTTTCAGGATTATGCAGCAGGTCTTCCTGGAAGACTGGGGGTACCAAGCATAGTGGGTGCTAAATTGTATTCCTAAGGCCCTATATACTTCTGGAGCAACTTCTGCCTTGGAGGCTGGTCTGTTGCCACGTTGTGTATGCCTAGTCTTTCCAGACCTAGGAATTATTTCATTTAGGAGAGACTTTATTACCTCTATGCTTTTTCTGTTTCACAAGGAATGGCTTCAACTCACCTTGTGAAAGTGGCTACCCATTTTAGTAAGAGGTGGGTCTTCAAACCCCTTTGCAAGTGTGTAGAGTCCCCCTGCCAGCCTTCTCCTGGGCGTTTTCCTTGATTCTCTTTTGCCAGGGGGAGGTAAATAATTGCTGCGTGGGTTGGTCTTTTGCCAAATTTTACATCCCTGAACTATTCGGGTGATAGCATCTGGTATTCCCTCTCCCATAAACATTCTCTAAGTTAAGTGAATGTTTTCCTTCTTAGAAATGTAGTTGACAGAGTTTTTAGACTTTCCTGTTGTAATGATCCAAGAAACCACAAACAGCTGTCAAGGGAAGCCTGCCATCCTCAATTGTCTAGGGTGCAACCATTTTGGGGGCCCTCCCCCATTTCAGGGGTGGTATAGTGTGACACCTCTCAGGGGTAGAGGGAGTCTTCTCATAGGACAGGAAATATTCCCTCAGTTCTGAGTGCAGCTGCCTTGGCAGTGGTATCTCCTAGGTGTTTATTTGCAGTTATTTGAGTTCTCTCCTTTTTGATGTCCCCCAGCAGTGCATGACTCCCACCTCTTGCAGGAACTGAACTGTCTCAAATAGGTTTAGAATCTTTTAATGTTTTATGAGGGGGATCCCAAAGGTTGTTAATAATCTCCTTTCTTTCCACATAGCTCATTAGCATGCAATACCAGATAAACATAATTGGAGTTAGTATAAATATTTATCTCCCTCTGCTACCTCAAGGATCAAAGCCCAAAGGATCAAAGGATCTCAGCTCTGCTAATTGGGCACTAGTATTGACCAGGAGGGGTTTAACTTGAGAAATCTTGAATTCTTTTACAGCAGTATAATATCTTACCTTACCGACTTTATCCTGAATTGAATAAGTGCCCATCAGTGAATAGTTGGAGGTCTGGATTTTCCAGCAGTTGGTCTTTAGGATCAGGTCAGACAGAGTTCTGTTACATCAGCATATCCCACCTTATAGATTTTGTCCTGAACGAATGAGCTCCTATCAGCGAACAATTAGAGGTCTGTATTTTCTGACAGTTGGTCTTTAAGATCAGGTCTGGCAGCATAGGATTTTAACAAAACCTCCTGGCATGAATGCTTAAAACTTTCCCCATAAGGAAGACAGGTAGTGGGGGTTGAGAGAGGGTCAGACTTTAAGGGTCTCCTCTGACCCTCCCATTTGAAAGAGCTTGATATTTTATCATCCTATCATCAGACAACCATAAATGTCCCTTGAATTGATTCCCCCAATGTTATATGAAGGGCATATACAATGAGGGTATTCCCAGAGTCAGTTTGCATGCTTTGGGGACAGAGTCCCCGGCTGCTGTGTCTCTCAAGCATGGCCCTCCTTTAGCCACTGAGTCCAGTTCTTCATTTAGGTATACCACTGACTGGGATGTTGACCCAGGGTGGCTCCCTTTCTTTCAGTTACATAAGGAAGAAATCAGGGTTGGGTGGGTAATCCCAAAGCAGTGGCCCAGTAAGTGCCTTCTTGAGTTCCTTCAAAGAGCAATAGGCTTAGCTTCCCATACCCTGTGGGGATAGGGGACATTTATGAGCCTCCTTGAGGAGTTCATAAAAGGGCTGCCCAGTTCTACAAATCCAGGGATCCAGATCCTTCAGAAGCCAGTATATTAGTCACTTTTCTGTTGCGTGATGGAAACACTGACCCAAGCAATTTATAGAAGGAAGAGTTTATTTGAGCTTATGGTTCCAGGGGAATTACAGTCCGTCATGGCAGGGAGGCGTGATGGCTGGAGGTGGCTGGTGAGAAGCTAAGCTCTCACATCATCACACAGGTACAGGAAGCAAGAGAGCAACTGGAGATCCTGCAAGGCTTAAGAACTCTCTAAGCCCACCCCCAGTGACATGTTTCCTCCAGGATAGCCACACCTAAAACCTCCCAAAACAGTGCCATCATCTGGGGGTAAAATGTCCAAATACTTGGAGCCTATGGGGGACATTTTCATTCAAACCATCACAGCCAGTAACCCCAAGGAAGTCCTTCTGTTGCTTGATAGTCTGAGGAGAGGGCAAGCCAACATAGGCTGAATATGTTCAGAACTCAAGCTGCCTTTTCCTCCCTCCAGTATCATTCTCCTAGTATGTAACCTGGGACTGGTATAGTTGGGCATTCTTTTAAGAGGCCTTCTATCCCCTCATGGCCAGAAAATGGAACAGGAACTTAGTTCTCCCAGGAAATTTCCCCCTCAGATGCTGCACAGAGTAACAAAACATTCACATATTGGAGTAAAGTTGTCTGGGACCTTGACCATGAGGTCCTGGACCAGAGTCAACCCAAATAAATAGGGACTGACTCTAAACCCTTAGGGCAGAACAGCACAGATAACCTGTACATACTTTTGAGTTGGATCCTTGAAGCAAACAAAGGCTGACTAGTAGGGTGGAGGGGAATATAATAAAAAGCTTCTTTCAAATATAGCACTGAATAGTGGGTTGTTCTAGAGAATATTTTGGTGGGGGGGGTGTAGGGATTAAACCCTGCAGGGTAGAAAGTGATCACCATCAAGATACCTTTGATGTTGGCCATTCCTGCAGACAGTTGATTTGCCATCTAATCTTTTGTAGAAAGGCCTCAAGGACTTTACAAACACAGCATTAGGGTGTGTGGGTTCCCACCAAGGAGAACCCTGAAACCCTCCCTGACAACATGAGGCGTATCCAGTTGGGAAAATAAATTACCATAATCCCTGGGACTTTTGGGATAAAAATTCCCCCTATGAGTGCAGTGACTATCTGCTAGAAGGATGTTAGCCACCAAGGTAACAGCGTCCTCCCTCTTATCAGTAGTCCCTCAGGCATAGTGACCAAGAAACTGACTGACTGAGAAAGTGGTGCCCAAGATGGAAAAGAAGCATCAGGAAGAGAGATCTGTGTTGAGGGATGTGACACTCAAAGTAGGAGTGCGGAAGGAAAGTCTGGAGGGTCTGAACATGGGGTGCGAAGATGGGAGAGTGAAGACGCGGCATTCCTCATAGACCTCTCCCAGGTGTGTGTATACAAACTAGCCCAACTACCACAGGGACAGCGGGGTTGGCCGGCATGGTAGGTAGTTTGGCCTCCCTTTCCTCGGGTTCTTTCTGAGAGAAATGATTGGCCTTCTGATGTCTTTTATTCCAGGAGTGTCGGTATAAGACCCTGCCCAGTTCTCTGCTGAACAAGTTCGTGGGCAAAATCTCTATTTGGCCATATGTGATCAAGGCATGCCATTGTCCAGGAACTCAGTCTCCTGTTCTCCTTAGTCTCCACCAGAGATGGGGCTGAGTGGGGGTTCTAGCTATGCTAACTTGGTCAGAGTCTCCCCTGATGCTGAAGGGGCCCGTGGAGGGCTGGATGATCAGGACACTTGAGTCCTTTGTGATTTTCAGTCAGGTGTAGACAGAGTAGGAGTCTCCTCAAATTCCAAATCCCCCAAGAGATGCAATGAGGATTTGGGTGGTCATCTACGGTTAGCTGAGTTCTTTTGTGAGACAGAGAATTGACATTCTGGAGAAGATAGGAGACAGAAATGCAAATAAAGGGAAAGAAGCAGCTTTACTGATGCAATCACACAGCTTCCTTTAGGGAAGGGAGGGGTCCCAGAGCTGGGAAATCCGATAAACGGGCTTTGGGTTAGGATCATACAGGGCCAGTGCATCCCCGTTTCCCTTCCTCCTTATTGGTCCTGTTTGGGTGTCCACTCCTGGTGGACTCTTCTTTCCCATCATTCTCTACAGCAGTGTCCCCTGGGAACAGGAAGCTGCCGTCTTATAGAACCTGCTCCCACTTTCCCTATATTCCTTCTCGCTACCCCTCAGCATGAAATTAGGATTGATTCACAACCTTATGAGATTTGAATTGTTCCTGTAATTTTCCCTTGGTGTGTGTGTGAGGTCTTACCAATGGGAAGGAATCAGAATATGATTTTTTTTAAAGAGGAGAGAATATATCACAATACTTAATGGAACAGTTGTCTTAATTCTCCACAAGCTATCTAATGAAATAGTTAAAGACACTTAGTGCTTTTAAGAAAATATCTTATTCTCATTCCCAGTGGAAATTAATCTGAGTATAAAATATTCACTTGTTTCTCATTTTCATTTTAGATTCATGGACCTTGTGGGGATGTAACTGTGGGCTGTTTTATGGCAGCTAATCACCTAATAGATTAAAATGATTTTAGTGCATTACTCAAGGAATTGATTAGATGCCAGAATTTCCTACAAGGGCTATTCAAATTATCTGTTCCCTAATTTACATTAAAATAGAACTTTATAAATAAATCTTAGTAGCTTGTGCTTTCTTGAAATCTATCAAGTAACCCAATGAAGGAGCCCATTTTCCCCCTCTGTCTGATATGATAGATGTTAACACTGCTGAAATATCATTAAAGACTACCATTTCACCCCTTATTGTTGAAACAGGGAGCTTTCAACTATTACAATCTCTCAACTTGTTCATTTGGATAAAAGTTAATATAAACTGTTCATATAAATATTAATGAAATAAAAGTTATTTCAGTGTGGTAACGTCATCTTCTAATAGAACCCTAAAATCTCATGAGGTCTTGCATGTTCTGTATGTTTTGGCCACAGCCCTACCACTTATGTTTTGGATGAAGATGAACCTCGATTCCTTGAAGAAGTTGATTACAGTGCAGAAAGTAATGATGAGTTAGATATTGAATCAGCTGAAAACGCAGGTGATTATGAACTTGCTCAAGAAGAAGCACTGTCTGACTCTGAAGCATCAAGAACACACCCTTGACCCTTCAGCCATCTCTTGTTAATTGCCAAGAAGAAATGAATTATCTTGGTTTTTATTACACAGAAAACTTGAGACTTTTAGACAACTGACTCCAAAAAAGACAAAAAGTAACTTGGGCCTGTTTGGTTTCAAGACAATAAATATATTATTAATTCATGATATAATTGGCATTTGTTTTATTTTAGATATTCAGTGTACTTTATATAGCATTGAATTATCAAATGATGGATTTACTTCAAAGAAAACTGCGTATCATTGCATGAATTTTTATCTCCTATGGCACTTGCATCAAATGGATGATTTTGAAGTGTGTCAGAATATAAAATCTAAATTCTAGAGTTGTTGAAAACTAATATATATGTACATGGATATCTTTGGATGTGTTTGTGTTAGAGGTGGGTAGTTATTGAAGAGAAGACTGTTCTTCAGAATCATGTGAACTGTTGGATTGTGGCTAAAGTAATCCAGAATTTGCCTTGAAACCATCCCATTTATCAAGTTAAATAAAAACTATATTAAATATTGCATTTATTTTGTCATCCTTTTAACCAGCTCAGATTTTAGTATATAGAACTTAGTAAGACTATTATAAAAATCCAGTATCTGAACACATTGATAAAGAGGGGTTTTCTTCTAAATAGCCTTGTTTACTAGTCTTAAGGTTTTGATGGTGTAGGTACCTATACCTATCATAACAGATATATTTGACAGCTCTGTTCTTTAAAGTCATGTCTCATGGATACATTTAATGTTTCTCACCACAGTGTGCTAAGAAACTTTTAAAAAAATGCTGTGAGAACACAGTGTGATATTAAATACACTGACATAGTGAGCTGACTAAGCAGTGAGCTGTGCTATGTTGCTAGACTTATTGAGATGAACTTAGGGCATGCTAGATGCTTACAGTGAATTAAAACTATTTCTTGTAGTGACATCTTCTTGAGGTTTATCCATACTGCTTCAGGAATGACGATCTTCAAACAAAATAAAACTCAGTGACTAGATAACTGCTTTAAGAACCTAGTTTTTGCTGTTCTAAAACAAAACCCTCAAAGATAGTACATTAGCAAACTCTAGCCAGACTCTGGTACATAGGTTTGGAATATCTTTCTCAGTTACTCCTAAATTGGAGTAGTTTTTAAACTTTTAAAAGGGAAAAGAAGGGGCTGGAGAGATGGCTCAGTGGTTAAGAGCACTGACTGCTCTTCCAGAGGACCTGGGTTCGATTCCCAGCACCCACGTGGCAGCTGCGAGCTGTCCTTGACTCTAGCTGCAGGAGAATCTGAAGCCCTCTTCTGACCTCTGCGGCACTGCACGACACGGGTGCACTCACCTGCATGCAGGCAATACACTCATACACATGGAATGGAAATAATAAATAAAAAAATATATTCAAAAAAGAGAATTATAAAAAAATGCAAAAGAAATTAAGACAGTGTATTTCAGATTTATGCATGTGTCCAGTTCAGTAGTTCTCCCCACCTCCACCTTGGGCTATTTAAGATGTTTTGAAAAATCCATAATGTAGATTCGCTTTGGTGTCTTGGGGGCCATGTTTAAAATGTACATGGGGTAATATAAAAAGAGGTCTTGGCTAGATATGGTGGCACACACCTGTAATTGTAGCAACTGAGGAAGTGGAGGCAGGAGGACCAGGAATCCAAGGCTAGCCTGGGCTACATGAGACCCTTTCTCAAAAACATAAGCAGAAAAGAAAAGGTAGTCTTTTTTCCTCCAATCTACTTTTTATAGTCTTAGAAAATAAAATTAAGACCACAATATTGAACAAGTTCTATTAATATGCCAACCTAATTCTGAAAGTGCAGGATAGTTTAGCAAAGTACTATTCTATCAGTTACTTATAAATAATTTTCTTTTATATATAGCAATTACATGTCTTGTTATAATTGTACTTTTTTCAGGGAATAGATTCATAATGTATCTAAATATGAAATCTGATTATTTCAAATTAGAAATTAAAACACATGAGTAAAATTAATAGTAGTTACTCTTGGGTAATTTATCATTTTCGATTATAAAACCTCCTTACTGTGAACATTTATTTATTTATTTATTTATTTATTTATTTATTTATTGAAGTACATCCCTTCCCATATGTTACATAGCTGATCATGCCTATTATTGAATAGTCACAAAGTTGAAAAAGTCTTTGTAGCTAGAAAATCATTATTTTCATACACCATAAATAGCTTCTGGAAAAAATAATTTCATATCCTAACTTCATTAATTGGAGGTATAATTTAATATGTTATTGGTTATTGGTAGTTAAGATTGCTCTGATTTTTGCCTTTGGGCCTCACATTCTTCAGGATTTCCAGAAATCTTTGAGAGACTTGCAGTGTGGTATTGTGCTAGTGAGTGATTGCTCTGTGTGGGGGTGATGAGGTCTGATAAGCAGACATGGATGATGGAGAATGGACTTCAGTAATTCACCTTGCATTTGGAACTTTGAACTTCCTAAATGTAGTTTAGATTCAGACCAGTAGTTCTCAAGCGGCACTGTGCTTCATCCTCACCTCGAGGCCTTCTCTACACATGGATACTGGTCATGTGGTCCTGGGGTTGAAGCCCAAGAACCTACGATCCTTACAGATTGCCAGATAATGGTGATGCAGAACCACACTTTGACAATCACTGCTGTAATCTGATGTGCTCTTTCAACATCGTGGTTTACTAAACATTATGGCACTTAAGAGCTGTCAAGGAGCACCAGGCAGAGTTGAGAGTAAATTCTTTGTAGAATAAAGGAAATAGATTCATAGAGGTCAAATAAAGCCAGAGTCCCTCAGGTAGAGCCAAGGTATTAGTCTAACTCTCCTCCTGAAAGTTAGCCTCATGTTATTACCACAGAAAGAGATTCTACTCTTTTGTCTTTGCCCAGAGAGTAAGAAATGTTCAAAGTTTAAGGATCTTTCTCAAATGAATGTATTGAGAAAAAGTAAAAGATGAAAACCTATCATTCAGAGTAACTTTGCACTGTAGTCAGTTCTGTTTTAATTTGGGAGGAATCATGAATCTCTGCCACTTTTGTCAGTCTTTGGTATTGAGAAGCATTGGTCTGAGTCCTTTGGCACTGAATAACCTGAAGTTGGCTTCTGCTGGCATTCTAACAGCAGCAAATGTTAGCCTGTTGTTAGCCTGCCATGTTGTTAGCTGCCATGTGGGTGCTGGTAACTGAACCCTGGTCCTCTGCAAAAGCACCCAGCGCTCTTGACCACTGGGCCATTTCTGCAGCCCTTTAACCATTTCTGTAGAATGTGGTGGGTTATTGGCAGAATTTGAGTACACTTGTTTACAATTTGAGGTTGCTTGCTACAGTGCCTAAGTATGACTGGCCCTCTGCCAGTGAGTGGCATTTCCTGCATTGCACAGGCTAGTGAGAATGAGGTTTTGCAGTCTGCAATGTGGGTGACACTTTTTCTTGAGAACTGCAGTGATCCATGTGTTTGTGTTCATGCATATTTACAACCCCCCTGCTCCCCCTCATGAGGTAGAATGGCCATGTGCTACCTGTTTCCAAACCCACATGACTTTAAAGAATGAAGGAGATTTAGCTGCAGATAGTTAAAAGGGTTTACATTTGCAATACTAAATATGAGATAATCCCTCCCAATGATCTCATTAATAAGAGTGCCAAGTGGCTCTAAGTGAGGTGAGCAAAGGTTTCTACCTGGTCACAGTATTTACCGTGTGTGATTTTCCAACTTTGTAATGTACTTTTAAACCACATGAACGTTGACTTTGTAAATGTGAAGAAATTGTGAAAGGTAAAGATGCTTGTTACTGAAAGTTAAAATAGGAAGAATTAGCAAGCATGTTCAACCTTTGACGCATCCCAAGATAGTGCTGAGTGCACACCAAGACATTTGTAGACCACTATGGCATGTCACAGTGTCAAAAGGCTGGACACACTTGGGTTAGGGTCAGATAAGTAGAAGTAATCTGCACCTTAGAAAATAGATTGGCCCCACTGTAGATTATTTTCAACAGTGTAATTAAGTTCAATGTATTTAAGTAGGGAATTTTAGACTTTTCAGTGCTAAGTACCTACTAAAGTCATGTCATGTACCCTGTTTACAGCACCATAGACTTTTTATTTATACTTTGCCATTTTTTAAAAAATATTTTATTTATAAGCCAGGCGTGGTGGCTCACACCTTTAATCCCAGCACTCGGGAGGCAGAGGCAGATGGATTGTTGGGAGTTCAAGGGCAGCCTGGTCTACATAGTGAATCAGGTCAGCTGGGACTACAGGGAGACCCTGTTGCAAAAAGACAAAAAAAAATTTTTATTTATTATTTTTATGTGTATTTGTGTATTGCCTGCATGCAGATAGTGCATCTGTGTTGTGCAATGCCTGTGGAGGACAGAAGAGGCTGTCGGATCCCCTGGAACTGGAGTTACGGACAGTTGTTAGCTGCCATGTGGGTGCTGGGATTTGAACCTGGGTCTTCTGCAAGAACAACCAGTGTTCTTAACTGCTGAGCTATCTCTCCAGCCCCTATACTTTACCATTTTTACCTTATATTATTGATAGTTCTTGTTTTCTTTTTATTTTGAGAATGTGAAGCAAATGAAATAATGATTGAACTGTATAATTTCATATAGGTAGATTTCAAATTTTGAAACTCCTTTTGAAGGATTGTCGTTCTTTTTTAAAGTTTATTTTGCAGTACTGGAAATTGAACCTATAACTTTGCACCTGGTTTGCAAGCACTGTACCACTGATCTATATCCCCAACAAGGATTGCCATTTATATTTAAGGTATGAAGGAATGTCTAGGGCATACTTACCTTAGCCAGTCTTTATTTCTCTCCTAAAAAGCTAAGCAATTTTTCTTTTACCACATGTGCCGAAACTCAAGTCCTTTACAGGACGGAGTGGACACTGTGACCCGTGGTCTAGACTTGTGTGTTCAGATGTCATCTACTTCCCACACACCTTCAATAGTTGTCTTAGCTTTCTGTTGCTGATACAACACTGACCAAAACCAACTTGGGGAGGACAGGGCTCATTTGACTTACAGCTCACAGTCCATTATCAAAGGAAATTGGCAGCAACTCAGGACAGGAACATGGAGGCAGGAACTGAATGCTATTTACTGGCTTGCTCCTCTAGCCTGTGCTCAACTTGCTTACT